TCCAGCACAGGTAAATCCACAAAGTAGATTAGTGGTTACCAGGGACTAAGGTAAGTGGGGAATGAGAAGTAACTGCTTAACAGGTATGAGGTTTCCTTTTGGGGTGATGAAAATGCTTTTTAGCTAGTTAGAGGTGATATCTTCAAAATACTGTCAATGTACTTAATGCCACTGAACTGCATACTTTAAAATGGTAAATTCTGCATGTATATTTTACCACAATTTTTAAAAAGTACATATGATTTGAATCCTAAGGAGACACTAGGTATAAAAGAATTTACTGTTTATTTTTAAAACTATAATAATGGTATTGTGTTTATGTATTAAGAGAGTTCTTATCTTTTAGAGATGCATGCTCAAACAGGGAATGACATATGTAGGTGGGAGCAGACAGGGCAGGTGGGGAACATAAACAAGGTTGGCTATGACCTGATTTCCAGAATGTCTGTCATTTTCCACAATAAAAAGCTAAAATATCAACTCTTCTGATCTTCAAAAATTCATTAGTAACAGGCACTACTTCCCTTTCTCAAGAGTGATTTTCAAGGGTAAAAGAGGCCACAGCTGGGTCATACAGGATCCACCCAACACCAGTTTTCAGGAAAACCACCATCTCCACTTGCCCACACAATCTTCCTAAAGCTGATCTGCCACCTCCACCCTCCTCCCCTTTCTCAACAGCCCCTCTCTAAAGCCACTCAACTGTGCTGGTTCTGGGAATGAAAATGTCAAGATGGAGCCTGAAACAAAGGAAGAGTGACAACATGGGCACTGGGAACCTGAATTACTACTGACTGGGTAGCAAATCCTCTTCTGGACCAAGTGATTTCTAAGTAAAAGACTGAAACTAAACTGAAGGAGAACCAATAAAATTTCCCACTAACAGATAACTTAAAATAGTTTTTGCTAAAAGATGACTAAAACTGGAAGGGGTTTCAGCATTTCTTCTATCCTTCCTTCTTCTAAGTAGGAACAAGGTCTCTGAGGGCTGACCCAGCACTTTGCTTACTGTTGCCAGCAGTGACCATCAGTATAATAATTGTGTGGTTTTCTTTAAAGCCCAGATGTATTGAGAAATGCATCTTTACTAAAAGTGAATGAATGAATGAATTTATTTGACCATGCTGTGCGGCTTATAGAATCTTAGTTCCCCGACCAGGGACTGGGCCTGCTCCCTCAGCACTGAAAGCTTGGAATCCTAGCCACTAAACTGCAAGGGAATTCCCAAATACAATTTCTAAAAGAATTAAAATTTTGGTTTTGGAAGGACTGATGCTGAAGGATAAATCCACGAACCTATGGTCACCTTATCTTTGACAAAGGAGGCAAGGATATACAATGGAAAAAAGACAACCTCTTTAACAAGTGGTGCTGGGAAAACTGGTCAACCACCTGTAAAAGAATGAAACTAGAACACTTTCTAACACCATACACAAAAATAAACTCAAGATGGATTAAAGATCTAAATGTAAGACCAGAAACTACAAAACTCCTAGAGGAGAACATAGGCAAAACACTCTCCGACATAAATCACAGCAGGATCCTCTATGACCCACATCCCAGAATTTTAGAAATAAAAGCAAAAATAAACAAATGGGACCTAATGAAACTTAAAAGCTTTTGCACAACAAAGGAAACTATAAGCAAGGTGAAAAGACAGCCCTCAGATTGGGAGAAAATAATAGCAAACGAAGCAACAGACAAAGGATTAATCTCAAAAATATACAAGCAACTCCTCCAGCTCAACTCCAGAAAAATAAATGACCCAATCAAAAAATGGGCCAAAGAACTGAACAGACATTTCTCCAAGGAAGACATACAGATGGCTAACAAACACATGAAAAGATGCTCAACATCACTCATTATCAGAGAAATGCAAATCAAAACCACAATGAGGTACCATTACACACCAGTCAGGATGGCTGCTATCCAAAAGTCTACAAGCAATAAATGCTGGAGAGGGTGTGGAGAAAAGGGAACCCTCTTACACTGTTGGTGGGAATGCAAATTAGTACAGCCACTATGGAAAACAGTGTGGAGATTTCTTAAAAAGCTGGAAATAGAACTGCCATATGACCCAGCAATCCCACTTCTGGGCATACACACTGAGGAAACCAGATCTGAAAGAGACACCTGCACCCCAATGTTCATCGCAGCACTGTTTATAATAGCCAGGACATGGAAGCAACCTAGATGCCCATCAGCAGACGAATGGATGAGGAAGCTGTGGTACATATACACCATGGAATATTACTCAGCCATTAAAAAGAATTCATTTGAATCAGTTCTAATGAGATGGATGAAACTGGAGCCCATTATACAGAGCGAAGTAAGCCAGAAAGATAAAGACCATTACAGTATACTAACACATATATATGGAATTTAGAAAGATGGTAATGATAACCCTATGTGCAAAACAGAAAAAGAGACTCCTATGTATAGAACAGACTTGTGGACTCTGGGAGAAGGCGAGGGTGGGATGTTTCAAGAGAACAGCATTGAAACACGTATATTATCTAGGGTGAAACAGTTCACCAGCCCAGGTTGGGTGCATGAGACAAGTGCTCGGGCCTGGTGCACTGGGAAGACCCAGAGGGATTGGGTGGAGAGGGAGGTGGGAGGGGGGACCGGGATGGGGAATACATGTAAAAAAAAAAAAAAAAAAAAAGATACACTATGGTTGTGATAAAAAAAAATAATAAATAAATTAATTAATTAAAAAAAAACCAAATACAATTTCTAAAAGAATTAAAATTTTGGTTTTGGAAGGACTGATGCTGAAGCTGAAACTCCAATATTTTGGCAACCTGATGCGAAGAACTGACATTTGAAAAGACCCTGATGCTGGGAAAGATTGAAGGTGGGAGGAGGACGTGAGTCTGAGTAAACTCCGGGAGTTGGTGATGGACATGGAGGCGTGGCATGCTGCAGTCCATGGGGTCACCAAGAATTGAACACAACTGAGCGACTGAACTGAACTGAATTTTGGTTTTGATCAATTCCTCAGTTACAACAATTGATAAGTGAATCCTTATAGTCACAGATAATTAAATCTTTAATATTTCTACATTTTGCTGTTGCAGAGAAAAGACATACTCAGTAAATGACATTCAATCATGAAGTATATGGCATTAGCACAAAATCTGTGGAGGACATGGGACTTAGCCATGAGGATGGGTGAGCCTGCCTATCTGTGTACTGATATATGGGTGAAGGGAAAAGTGGAAGTCGTTCAGTCGTGTCCAACTCTTTGTGACCCCATGGACTGTATAGTCCATGGAATTCTCCTGGCCAGAGTATTGGAGTGGGTAGCCTTTCCCTTCTCCAGGGGATCTTCTCAACCCAGGGATTGAATTCAGGTCTCTCACTGCTGAGGGAGAGGGTTCAGTCTCTGGTCAGGGAACTAAGCTCCTGCAAGCTGCAATGTGCAGCAAGAAATAGTAGTAACAAAAATTAAACATCAATATTCTTAATAGTGGAAAATTTAATTCCTTGCTTATTAAATTTACGAAGAAAAATTTTAGATACCAATTTAAGTATGTGAAAGGGACACTCAGTTTTTTAAACTCCTTAGACAGGTAGACATAAAAGGTTCCTGACATGCACAGTGCTTCTTAGAAGGTCGGGAACACGTGAGAAGTGTACATTCTTGAGCCCCAGGCCAGACCTGCTCAATTGTGGACTCTGGGACAGAGCCCTTGAGTGATTTTAAGTCACATGATGTCTGGGAATCACTGGCCCACACCATGTTTTCATGACTTAAGACAGAGAGGAACAGCTCAGACCAGAAATGGACCGTCCACCTCAACATCATCTGCTTCCAGCCACGCCAAGGATCACCAGGTTTGCCACATCTGGACCACTTGTGACAACGAAGTTACTCATAGAGAAAAGAAATATGAGGCCTGACTAACTCTTACTTAGGAGACACATGGCTTGAGGAAAAAAGCATTTTAAATGGGCAACTGGTTGCAAATTTCCCAATTTATCCACAGGTGGCATGTTATCTATTATTTAAAAACAAAAAACTCTCTGGTTAATCTTCCCTAGAAAATATTACAGATCTTGTCCCTCTATTAAATTCAGGGAGGAGTGGGGGAAAGTGGAATCACACAAGGTGTCCCAGGTCTCCATCCCTTAATAGCTCAGTAAGGATTCAGAGGTCAACACAATCAAGCCTTCTGTTCCCCAACCTCTTTCAAAGAAACTATCTCTGGGCACAGAGAGCTAGTTTGAGCCAAAAGCTTCTGATTCTACTGCTTGAGGTCCTGCAGCTGAATCACAACAGCCTACACTGTGGACAGCATGCACTTCACATACCTGAGTGAAAACCCACTGCTAAGAAGTCTGAACACAAGCTCCAAGGACCCAAAAATCTTGAGTTGACTCAATAGCCAGCCGGACTCCTACCCTTCACACTGCTCCGTGGAACTGGATGGAAGGAGGTTTTCTGTTTTCTGATTTAAAAGCCAAGCTCCCTTAGGCTCATCTATGTCAGAACATCCATGGGAAGCCATGTCAACAGGGCTCCTGAGGGCCTTCAGAGCAAAGAGCACAGCAGACCATCTTCCACCATCAGATACTCTCAAGCAGCCCCCTGCCCCAGGGAAGGGCACCGTCTCTGGACAGATCAGCTGGGACAGCCTCCAGGGGACATTACAGAAGTCAGGTTCCACCATCCAGCTGCCAGGCTGTTTCTAGGCCACACCTAGATGTCTGCAAAAGGTGGGAGTATTTTCATCTCTCAAGGTACTTAGAAATGCTTTCCTCTTCAGATAGCTCCTCCAGTGGGAATTACATGGGAGCCAATTCCCACAGGTACTTCCCAGCTACTTCCTATTCCATTTTCAGTAGTTCAGAAATGCAAACGTTTCTTCAGAAAAAATAAAAATGAGAATTGTAATAGAACAAAAACCTTGAACACCATGCTTCATAAAAGGAAAGTAGAGGACCTTCACTCATGTTATCAGCACCCAGTTACCCATGGAGACAGTGCTTACCATTGTTCACCTGGCCGTGGACAGCAGCGGGGATTGGCACCACGTGAGTCCCATTTTGTGTTACAGTTTTTATTGGAAGCTGGTGCTGACCTAGAGGTGCCTGCTGCACTATGGTGACCGTCTGGACAGGGGTGGTCTGTGACGTCTGAATGATCCGGCCAGCAGCACCTAATGTGGCATGGCTAATCGCAGGAATAGGTTCTACTTTCACTAAATTCAAAGAAGAGAAAAAAATGACACCAACTAATATTACTGGGTAGCTTACAGAACTCTCACTAATTTAAAGTAAAACAAACCATGTGGCAAACAGCCCTGCTCCAGCACAATGTTACATAACATGTTAGCAAAGGGTCAGGTGAACAAGGCTGGCAGGTTTTTAAAAGCTTGAAAAACTGCCCAAAGTGACTGCTTCTGCTGTTTACCTTTTACTTCTCTGTGGTCTCCATTCTCTTGTGGCTCCGCCTTCGGGGGGGCCAGCACAGCTGCCTGAGTGACCACGGCCTGCCCTGCGACAGTGTATGTGTTTGCTGGGGCCAGTCCAGCCACGCTGGTGACGGACACCGCTGGGATCTGGTGGACGACGTGAACCGTCTGCACCACGGGCTGCTGGGAAGTCGAGGTGGTCACAGGGGCAGTGACAGTGTAGGTGACAGGCTTGATCGTCGGTGGCAGTGGTCGCTGCACGGCGATTAAGACGGGTTGACTAGACAGCGGTGAGCCTGCCGAGGATGGGAGCAGAGGTGAGGCTCAGGTATCCCGAACCAACTAACTGACCCCTCAGTTGCAACCTACAGGCTGATTTAAGAAAATAGGAGGTGGCCCCTTTCATCTGGTAATAATGAAGTTGTTCACAATGAAAGAAATGACATATTTAATGCGGACAGTTTATGTATATCTAACTGCTAAAAATGCAATCTCTGCTTTGTTCAGATTTTTTTTTGGCCACACCTTATGGCATGAGGGATCTTAGCTCCCCAACCAGTGATCAAACCCATGCTCCCTGCAGTGGAAGTGTGGAATCTTAACCCCGGGACCGCCAGGGATGTCCCTGTTCAGATTTCTTACAACATCTCTTCCCACAGTTCTCTCCTCATAATAGAGAAAACATCAACACAGAATATGGGAAGGAGCTGCCCAATGAGGCCTGAAGGAGGGGGCCATGCTCCCTGGTATCGAAGTCTCCATCTTATGACAGGTGTGGAGAAGCAGGAAGCATGGAGACAGAGCTGTCTGCCAGCCTCTGCTCTTTCTGGTTTGGACATTTGGGCTCCAGCAACAGGAACTACAGATGGGGGCTGGCAAGGGTTGTTGCCAGCATGGCCAGGAACTCTAAAATATCAAAATGCACATTTTGCCAACCAAGTAGGAACCATAACAGAATTACTTTGGACACATTTTCACACTACTTTTTAAAAAAAAAATTCCCCAGGGCACATATTTTTATTCCACATTACGACTTTGTATGTCACTAGGAAATATTCACCTATCTACTAAATAGACATTTATTTCCTGACAGTGTCTACTTTGACTAATTTATGTTATTTCTTTTTGAGGGAATTCTTTTTCATAGACTTATGAATGATGAAGCAATTGAGAAACAGGTTAATTCTAAAATTTTTCAGGCACCCATACATAAGAGTCATAAAAGAATGTTAACTGATTAGAAAAAAAAATAGAACACAGTGCAGTTAGCTTTTCAGAGCCTATCAGGCACAAGGTTCAAAGGCTCCAAAGCCTCTGGCTCACATGTTCATCTGACCCATCCCTTTCCCACCACACCTGCCCTCTGCACATCTTACCTGGTGCACTCTGGGCAAACCGCGCCTCCTGGATGACAGCAAGTTTGGGCTGTGAAGCACCAGGCTCAGGCTCCAGAGGGGCTGGTGAACCTTCCCGGGACAGGCTCTCAGGGGTCTGGGCACCACTGGAGTGAGCAGACAGCACTCCAGCATGATTGGGAGAGGCTGGAGCACTTCTGTACGACCAAAAAGAAGACAGTGGATTTTTACGATAAAGCATTCATAAAGCTGCCCTATTGTTTTTAGTAAGCATATATTGCAAAAAGGGGTGTAATTTGTCTTCTGCCAACCAATTAAAGTTCTTAAGTCTTACTTTCTGTGTGACGCCTGTGACCTGAGACAGATACTCAAAAAGGCTGGCACGGCTGGGACAGAGCCACCGTGTGTAGGACGCTGCTGCTCCACACCCAGCATGGGCCACACAGCGTGGGGTGGGACTGGCTGCCTCCCTAAGCAGCTCCCACCCACAGCCAGGCAGCAGGAGCCAGCAGCCTGCAAGTGGAGCTGGCTGGGTCTCAAGACTTACATTATAGTCATGTCTTTTTTCATTTAAAAACGCAGAGTAACTATTAATGAAGCTAAAAATGAAACAGCAAAGATGTAGCTTTAAAGAGCTTCTCACATGCCAAGGAAAAGGAAGAAACTATCAACATGGCATCGTTATACTGCCGACTCATCATACTGACAATATGCATTCAATGAAGCAACAATGCTACATAGGAATACAATTTAAATAAAACTTAATAATCTGAATTGTTTTAGCACTAGAAACAAAAATACATGAGAGGTATCCAACACTTCTTTCTTTCCCAAATCCCCAGCCCAACATTTAATCATAATGCATTTGGTAATTCCTTCATTTTCAAAAGGAAAATTTACCAATACATCAAAGGTAAATTCACTGACCATTAAGTGAGGTCTTTTTGTTTGTCTTTTTTCCTTACCTAGACGAGAGCGGTCCCAGAGGGGTTCTAAAGCAAGGCACGCCCCTAGGCCGTCTTTTCCTAAAAGCCTGCTCTATTAATTTGCTTTCAGAGGCAGGATCTATCCTCCAGAATGAGCCTTTGCCTGGTTCTTCCTGGGAACGTGGTACTTTGATGAAATAACGATTCAGAGAGAGATTGTGGCGAATTGAATTCTATGAAACATAAAAAAATACGTAGAATTCATATATTTCTTTGCTGAGAAATAAAAATGTGCCCCAGTTTTAGTGCCCTGAAAAGGTCCTGTAGCTCTGCGCTGGAAGAAACCGGCCCTTCCCAAAGTGCAGGAGGAACTGCGGGGCATGACCACTCAGAGGCTGCCAGGTGGCTTCTACAGAGGAACGGACAAGGACATGGGGCACTGTGAACGGCACGGCAGGGTGGGCACCGGGAGGCAAGGAAGGGAACTGGGGCATGGAGAAGGGGTGAGAAATCTATACCACACGAAAAGAGGTTACTTCCAATGGGAAAAGCATCAACTTCTACCTTTTTACCAGGTAGGAAATCAAGGGCTATCACTGTGACCTCTCTCCTTTTGGAAACGAACAGTGTTGAGAACAGCTACCCCTTTAAAAATTTTTTTTAATCAGTATAAAATTAATTTATAGAATCCATCACAGCTTTTAAAATGAATTAATCCGCTATATTTGGCAAACCAGCAAAGGAGAAAAAAAATGAGCCAAAGTTTGAGAAATATTATTGACACCATCTTCCAGTCAAAGAACTTCCATATACTTTGATCCTCAAAATAATCTCGTGAAGCACATGGAGAAACTTTCTCAATTCCTAAGTCCATTCTTCTTTCTATTACAAAAACTCAGCTCACAGTTTATGCATGACTTGAGGAGACCTCTCTGCTGCATCCAAATTGGAGACCTCCAAAAGCTCAGGAAAAGCTGGATGGAAGTCATGCATTCAGATCATTTTGTGCACTTACAGTAGTGTTTAAATTAAAAACAAATTATTATAATTTCAATTCAAACTAAAATTCTGGGTTATCAAAAAATTATTTCTAAGTTCTCCAATTAACTTTCTAATAGAACTGCCAGCCATAACCTGAAATTCTGAATTGCCAGAGGTGGTTCAGAAATCCAAATTTAAGTCAAATACTACTTTGCAACCAATCTAAGGGACTATTCAAGAACCACACCAGTCACAGGTCACAGCAAACCACCAATGCCTATGGACATCAGTCATCTCATTGGCAAGATGAAGGGACAGGCTAGGCTGTGCCTGATTTGTGAGACTGTTTATAAGGAGATGTATTATATTAGATTTAGAATATTTCCATAACCAAAGATACTTGCTATGATATTTTATCACAGGGTCTGGCTGATAATCAGCCAAGACCTACTGACCAATCCCTCCAGAAAATCGAATCTTATTATTGGTGTCCCCATCAAGACAGAGAAGGCAATCCTCTATCTGCACTCAGACACTTTCGAGTATGGAATAGAAGGCAGATCCTAAGAAAAAAGTCTGAGAAAAGCCAGCCCAGAAAATGAGAGTGGAGGACACTCGCACTGTGAACTGGATTTGAGGGTCCAGAGTTCTGGACGGCACCACAGGGAGCCGGCACTCAGACAGGAGCTCAGAAGTGACTGCCGAGCCACAGTGCTGGGTGACACATGATAAGGGTGGTGCTGATCCCCACGTGAAGGCTGTAACTGCACCGACTGGAGTGAAGTAGGTTCACATTCATGTTGTTAGGAGGAGAAAGGGAGGTTAGCACAGTGGGAATCTGAAGGCAGGAAACGGTACTTCAGGGGACTGGGGCGCCAGGGCTTCTACTCACTGACAAAGGTCAGGACCAGGGTCAGCAACACAGCGGCTGTTACCCACCACACCACCACAAGCTGTATGGTCAGTTTTTAGGTCAAGTTGTTGTTATTTTCTGTTCTGAACCCAGTCTGCACCATCAAAAGAGGGTCTAAATTCTCCTCCACTCTGACAACAATCGCACAGACAAATGAGCCCAATTAATGGTCACCTGTGATTCTCCAGCCAACAAGACTCTAGAAAATATGAGGAGGTATTAAGAAATATTTGACGCATATACAGAAATTGTATTTCTAAGGTAATTAAAGGCCTTCGTAATTTGATCAAACCAAGCTACACACATTAAGACTGCACTAATTTGATTCCAGTGACTCAGATTATTATGAAGTATTCAGAGAAAAGGTGCGTTATTATTTAAAACTAAATGTGAAGGAAAGGATCTGCAATACTTTGCACATTCTATTTTCTCCAAATTCTCCCCAGTAGAGACTGCTTCCCAGAACCCAGCTGAGGAAGGGGAAAGGCGGAGAGCTGGTCACTTGTGCCTGCTTTACTGCCCTCCCTGAGCGCTTCCAGCCTTCCTGCCCAGAGCGCAGTTTGTGTCTGTTAGCCCCACTCAGCACTGAGCACTTGCCAGTGTGCATTCTGCGTAGTAAGAACTTGTAAGGAAATTTATGGGAAGAACTTTCTAAAGGAGAGTCCAATGTGTAGGGCGCAGGTGAGCACAAGTCACTCCCTCTGCTCTCAGAAACCAGCTCCGATCCTTTGAGGGGCTCTACTGTCAAATTTGCTCCAGATTAATCGAAAAACTTTGCCATAGGTAGACTGCAAAATACATAAGGTAAGGAGCTATGGACTTCCATTACGTGCTCAGAATTGGTATAGTGGGAAGAGTCCACACACGTCATCTTAGAAACTGAGGTAGAGGGAGGGATTCAAGCTCCAAGAAGCACAGCACTGCCGCCTCCTCTGACCCACTGGGGTGTGGGAAGATGCAGTCTGCAAACCGCAACTTGAAAAATGCGCTGTTTTGGTTGACAGTTGGGTGGTTTTTTTTTCCTTAAAAGAAAAAGGATCTGGGTCTTTTATGAAACAAGGTTGCAAAACTGCTTTTGTTTTCAGCCAGGAGAGAGGGAACAGGAATGAGCCTTCCATGCAGAGACTCCAAGTGCAGTCCCTCAGGATGGGCAGCTCAGAGAGCCCGACGACAGAAAAGGACACAAGCAGCAGGCCTGCTGGGGAGCAAGGACGGCTGAGGGCAGGAATCTGAGCGCACGTCCGTACACTAAAGAAGGCGGAGCAGGAAAAGTCACGTCCCGCTAGAATAGCTGGAGCAGCTGCTCCATGTCCCAGGAGCAGCCCTTCATAGGCAAGAGGCACAGTCATCCTTATGAACCTTTATCTGGACAGAAAAGATGGTTCAATAAAAAGTGTTAATGACAGTTTCTAACTCTCAGTTCTAGGCAGGCAGTGAAGTCAATTTAGGAGCCAGCAGCAATCTGTGCTTAGGGGTCACCTCAGTGGGCCCCACCTCTCTGTGATCACAGCCCCTCCTGACCTGACTCACTCCCCAGGAGACTAAGGCCAGGAAGAGGCTGCCCTTCAGCCTTTAACAAGAAAACCTTGTGATGCACAGTATCAGTTCTCAAATAAATGGATGCTACAAAGCACAGGAAATACAACCAGAAGGGAAATACAATGTTCAAAGTCTGGCCAGGTTTTTCAGAAATACTCCCATTACAATCCAGCTCACTGGCATTTCAAATTATCAAAATTCTACATACAGTGAGCTGCATGGAACTCTACCGAGCTCCTGGACAGGACACTATGAGAGACCTCACCTGCCCGTGCACAGGAAGCTGTGTTCCATGGACAAGGACTGTTGTCTGCCTCTGCTTTGTTTGACATTTTCTTAGAAGCACAACCTCACTGTTACAAATTCTGTACATCATCTTAAGGGACCTGCCAGGTAGCTGAATACGGAAGTGTTTTTCCCAAGCCAGCATCTCCTTCATGGCCAACTAGGAAATGCCACCCGGCTGTAAACAAGAAGGTGGGCAGGGCACAGACACTCCAGCCCAGGAGTAGACTGGGTCTCATTTTGTACCTGTAGCCTTTACAGACTAAAGACTCTTTACAAAGGAAATAGTCAGGATTTTTATCATAACATGTTTATACATCTACAGATGGAAGAAAAAAGTCTTCACCCTCCATTAAACAGAAAATGGCTTACCCCCCACCCCCTGGCTGTATTACTTGATTGTGGTTATGGTTCAACAAATGTACTTGTCAAAGAATCATGTACTCATTAAGACTCAAAGGAATTCTGTGGCCATTCCTGATTACTTAATGAATTCAAAATTTGAAAATGTATATTTCTTCTCTCTTTTGATATGCTTTTACCGTTCCACATTTCAAACTTACCCTTTCTCATACTGTCTGAATTAGTGAGGTTCTACTAGCTGCCTAGTAAATGTCTACACACACACACATAAGGAGGAAAAACATATACAATGCAGAGGTTGAAAAACTAAATTAAAAAGCTAAACAATGGAAACACTATGCATCAATTTCCAAATGTCCTCTGAAGAGACCCAGATTCACAGACAGCCTAAAAATAGGCTGTAAGTACAAGTCAACAAGTAGGTAGGCTCCCCAGTTGAGTAGCACTGTGTTCATGTTTTGTATACTGGACACCTAGAGGAGGCATCTTTTGAAGAAAGGGTTCCTCAGTAACAGTTTGAAAACCATCTCTGTGCAAACTTCAAAAAGCTATGTATGTCATCAGAAGTCGATGAGGAAGACAGAAGAACTCCAAAGTAAAGGATGGGCAGGATTTTTAACTCTCCCTCCCTCACTGGTCCAAGAGAAACATCTCAAACGACCCATGCCTTTCCCATCCATGAACACCATGACAGTAAGAAACAGGGCTGAAGTTTCCTCCAGAACCACTATTCCTTCTATTATGTGCTAATAAGGAGGTTAGAAAGAGCGTGGCAACAGCAGGCCTCTGACACTCCTCCTTCCTCAGCACAAGAGACCCTCATTCATCTCATGTTACCTATGCCCCAGCTACATACACAGCCACTCCATGCCCCTCTCAGTTGTCAACCAGCACCTTCAGGACATGTAATAGAAACATTTAATAACAAACTGAAAAGGATTTACCTGCCAGCCCTTGTCTGCAGTCCTGTAGTAGGGATAGTTTTTTGTGATGTGCGTATAAATTCCATTTAGGGTGAGTTGTTTATCAGGAGCCATTGTAATCGCTTGTACGATTAATTGTGCATAGGAATAAGGTGGCTTTGAGTCATCCTGTATTAAAAGTAAAAAAAAAAAAGAGTATTGAAGTAAACAAAATTTTTACTAAACTTACCGAAGTTCAGGATTCTTGACATTTTTAAGCATTACTATGATAATACTTGTCTTCCTTCCTATAAAAGTAATTTATGATGGGGAGAATTCCCTGGCTGTCCAGTGGCTAGGACTCTGTATTGTCACTGCCCAGGGATTAAGTTTGGCTGTGTGGGGGGTTTAGGAGGAGGGGGTGGATATAATATGATGGGAAAGCACTTGGAAAATTTGGAGGAAACAAATGAAGACATATAGAACAGTATAAAAAAGAACATTAAAACCACATAAGGAAAAAGTCCAAAGGGCAAAAACAGAAAGAACAAGAAAATGAGAAAAACTCAGTAGAATTTCTGGACCTCAGCAGAGTGCAGAGCACACATGCTGATCCACACCATAGGCTCATCATGTTGATCTCACGGTTAAGGTGAAGAGCTGGGCTAGGCCAGTGGTGGCAAGGGGTGGGGTGAGCTGGCATTATCTCCCAGGCCCTGGTTGGGGGTTCTCATGCACACAAGGAGACAGGGCAAGAACGCTGAACACCAAAGCAGGAGAGTGGTGTCCACTCAGAACCCCCAAGAGTCCATCAAGGAGCTCCTCTTGTAAGAAAACCCAAGCAGACAAGAGTATCAGGAGCCAGACTTGGGGTTCCCACACCAGGGTCCAAGGCATTCAGGCAGGCACTGCTCAGGTGTGGAGGGCTGCCATGCATAGTGCAGGATGCTGGCACTCCTGGCCCCAGCGTACCCAAACACACCGGGGCTCTGCCACTGAGACGACTCCGAACCGCATACACATGCACAAGCCCACCGGGAAGAGGGTGCACCTCTCTCTGGCTGGGAACTACACATGTCAACAAAACATAACACTGAATGCGGACAGTAAACTGCAAATCAATACATTCAAGATGATACCCCTTATATGAGGTTAAGAAATGAACAATTTAGATACTGTTTATAGATAAACACAATAAAGGCAGACTCAGGCAGAGGACTGTGGCATGGGCAAAGAAGGAAGGTAAAGAGCCAAAGAAGGGAACACAGGCTTCACCGGCACAGGCTAAGCTTAGCCCTGACAGCTGACTGGAGCATGTTCTCTGCACAGAGAGACTGAATCATCCAGCACCTCACTTTCAAATAGCTGACATTTCCTGAGCACTTGGGTTAGGCACTGCCCTGTCTGACCTCTGAATGAGCTCACCCTGAGTTATAGGACAGGGATGGTGGAGCAACTGAGCTGGAGTCCTACCAGGGAAAAGCATAAAGCCTTCCTCACTGTGCTTATGCTGCTGTGTGCTGCTTTTTTTTATCTTTCTCCTATACATTTCCATTAAAAAAAAAAAAAACTGTAACAGACAGGAAAGCCCACAATATATTCGTATAAGCCAAAAACAAATTTCTACAAAATGACCAACAGCACAACCAATGCTAGGTCAAGAGAGAACACAGCCCACATCCCAGAAGCTTCCTCATGCCCCACGCCCCTGCCCACTTTCAGCCTTCCAGAAAAGCCACCACTTTTCCTGACATTCTGTGCTAATCAGAATCCAGCTGTGACTTAAGTTTTACCACCTAAGAATGCATCTGAAAACAATACAATTTAGTTTTGCCTGATTTTAAACCAGGAAATGGACAAGAATGGAATCCTACAGAGTGCCCCTGTGTCTGCGCCTGCCCAGCACCCTGTGCAAGAGGCTCCTGGCTGCTGTAGATGGTGCACAGCCACGACGTATCCATTCCCACAGTGTCATGTGCCCTACTACATGAATATACCACATTTTATATAAATGCATACTTAAAGTAACACTATGTCTGGTTTTATTCTCTTTTTTCACTTAGCGTTGTATCAAGAGCACTTTCATATCAGTATCTGCATCATGTAAGATCCCCTTACTTAATTAACCTTCCTTCTTTTAGGGGCACTTACGTTGTTTTCAATTTTGTTTTGTTTGAACTTTAGTTTGAGATTTTTGTCCATTTCCCTTAAATGAAGTTCTAGAAGGGGCATTACTGGGTCAAAGAAGAGAAATAGGCAGGGTCCTACTATAGGTCATCCAATAATTATCATCCAAAAGGGACTGATGTGTCCTCCCTCCCCAAGGTGTGTGTTCGTGTGCATATGTGTGTACACACATGTTTAGATATGCACATGTGCAACCTTCAGCATTTGGGACAGCAATACTGAACTCCAAGAACAGTCTCCTAGGACACCAGGCACTTGACCCCATGAGGACCAAGGGTTCAAGCTCTTAGCATCTGGGCCCACAGCTGCCACCGAGAAGGGCCCAGGGCTGAATGATCAAAAGAATGCACCTCTGAGAGCCCAGCACCGAGAACACGCACAGCAATCATCCCGCATCCACACAGACGGGCACTTCTCAAAAGGCCCTGGAGGGGGGAGGGTGTTCCTTGACATGCAGGTGAAGATAGCTGCTATCCAACAGGCCCTGGGTTCTGTTTCAAAGCTATAAAACATTTATTTACCTTTGGGCTGTCTCCACCCGAAGCTTCCTTCTCGTTTTCTGGCTGTGAGTTGTCGGCCATTAAATTGAGGTCAGATGGTATCACACGGCCCATTTTGTACCCTGAAGACCCTGCTCCCCGGGGGCTAGAAGGACAGGAGTTCGCAGCACTGTGGATGAGAAAAGGTTGTTCCTATCAGTCTATTATAGAACATACCTCACACTGTATTTCAGTAACTGGCTCTTATTTCAAGGAAAACAAATTTTAAAAGTAAGAGAACTTTAGCATATTCACTGGAAAAATGGACTCATTAATCTTTGTGAAATTTAAGATCACTCCAAGGAATCAGGTATTTGCTTCCACACGTATCGCCTTAGGAACTTACCAAGGACATAGAGCCATACATGACGGCTCTTGAGCTCAGCCTGGAAGAGGAGCAAAGAGCACCACTCTGCTCGTCTCCTCCTCCACCAAGGAGTTGAGGACAGGCAGCAACGAAGGACAATGGCTTCCAAGCTATACCAGAAAGGTCAAGGGAAATTTGGAGAGAAGGGAACAGCAGCCAGGCTGAAGACAGGACACACAGAGGGAAGGAGGCGGTAGAAACAGATACACATGCAGGTAGGCTGTGAGGGGCTCACAGGAAACACACAGAAATCAGAAACAGAAACCCACTTTTAAATATGCACTTTTTTTTTCCCATGAGGTAGGGCTGGCCCATGACACTGAGAATGTTTTGATTTTTGATCTTTGCTGATTAGAAGACACTTTATTTGTAAATTCACCAAGTTACATATTTAATTTATGCTCCCCTTTCTGTACAGTATTATACTTTACAGAACAGAAAAAGCTACTGAAATGGAAAGATGCCAAGAAAAGATTGTTTTAAAAATCCAGTAAGTTATAGAACAGTATATATGGTTAGATCCCATTTGTATTTTGGATAAAAAATAAGTATTGAAAACATTTAAGAAATTTCTGGAAAAAATACTTAAGAAACAGTAGTTACCTCTGAAAACTGAACTAGAAAGGAATGGGCCAGAAGGTGGAGCAACACTCTATTACCTTGTACCCTCTGAAGCACTACTGGACTCTCTACCAAGAAAATGCACCATCAGTATATGCACTCACCCTCGAAACAAGAGTTTACTGCGTGCCAGGAACAACTCAAAGCACTGGAGAGAGAGGAACAAGACAGATGGCAGAACCACAGGCATGAGCTCTCGCTCTGACTTTAAAACTAGCTAACATTTCAGAAGGGCCGACGCAGGGCAGGTGGCTGGGTGGTGGTGGGTTCCCCACGAGTCATCTCAGCAGCAGAGACACTGTGCTGCTCAATACCGGTGCAGGGCCGTGGGGTGAAGATGAGCAAGGAATACAGGATGAAGACATGCCAGGAGGTGAAGAGAGGATGGGTCAGGAGCTGATCCAAACTCTGAAGTTTCCAACAGCCTCTGGTTCCTTGAGCGTCCATGGGCAGTGCGTCAGTGGCCTGACCCCAAGTCTACTGTTCCCACTGGGGGACGCTATCCCATGTGGGTAAACAGGGGCGTTGTCCTCTTCCTCTATGAATTCTGCACATTTTTCATGCAAAGCTGAAGAAAAATCTGGCCATGCAGCTGCTGATTTTTGCCTACTCACTGCCACACTTACTACCTGATCCATCTAGTCACACAGAGACAAATACAACCAAGTGGGCGAGACAAAGGCAGCATCCTCGGCAGAGCGGCCATGGCAGGGGGCAGAGAAGGGGCCTGACCAATAAGCAGTTGCACTCACATGGAGCTGAGGAGCCAGTCTACCTGACACTCCCTCCAGAGGCCTTTCCAGAGGGATACCTTTCTATCCATGCTGGTTTTTAAGATAAGAAACAGAAGTGTCTGACTGAAAGCTACAGCCCAGAGCTGCAGTATTCCCCCTGTGCCCTCCTCACTCAGCTACATGTGGGGTTAGCCACAGTAGACAAGGCAAACAATGTCTTCTCTGCCTCCCAGCCAGGCCCTGTGGACAGCAGGAGCTAGGCTCGCAAGAGAAGCAAGTGTGTTCATCTGCACCTAAGTCTAACACTACTCACAGTGAAGAAGATGCCTGCATACATACTCCACTCTTCTGACTGAACAGAAGAGGACTGACCATCTGAGCCTTATCCCAGGGTCTCATCTGCAGGTCCTGGGCGATTCCTGACCTGACCCTCAGCTGCTGCCCCCGAAAGCTGAGCACAATGTAACCATCTTGCACTGGATTCTGTGGTGAAGAGCAGGCCCTGAAGGCACCATTCTCTACTTCCTGACACTCTTGGGACATCAGGACAGACACAAGTTTGTCACCTTACTGAGGTCAAACTCAGAAATCCGAACTGTAAGTGATCAGAATTCATATTAAGTTGTAACAAACCAAGATACGCTTGGTATCAAACCAAAATGCAACTGAAAACATGACTCACACTTTAGACCATTATCACAAATCATCTATGCCTAAACTTACTCAAATAAAAGAATCCACAAGTGAAAACCAGGAACATTTGGGAACTGTGTTTCACATGCAAGAAAGCGAGAGCAAACAGTGTTCAGAAACCGAACAACATTTTAAGTGTCCTCAACATCTCTCTCTCCATGCAGCTCAGCACCTGGGAAGGAAGGCATCATCACTATGCACTGCTGCCCACTACTGTGATGCACAATGGCTTCTGAATGTCCCAAAGAAAGAGGCAAGGACTGAAACTTGGACAGTGTCGTGTCTACACGTACACCCTGACACTACGGTGACTCCCATGCCCTATGGGAGCTACTGTATACCTGATGGTTCCTGTGGGGGAGGGGAGGGGGCTGATGAGGTGGGCCATGGTGTCTGGAATGTTGATGGTCAGCGGCGAGATGTGAGCCTGCACAGGCTTCACCGGGGACTCGGGCGCCTCCTGTTTCTCCCTCTTCTCGCTGGACAGGGCAGTGAACGTGATCTTGATGTTTGTGCTCGGAAACCTGAACGTGCACCTAAAAAAGAAAAGCCAACTGTCAGCACCTGACTGCCGAGTGGCAGGACCCACAGCAGGGGACAGAGCCCACGTGTCCCCAAACATACTGGAGCCTCGACTTGCGTTGAAGAGTCAGCGAGAAGCCCACTTCAACCTCATCTCAAGTGTTACAAGCTGCTTAACGCGTGATACCACAAAGGAGATGTCGTCTCATGAGTTAAAAACACTAGTAAGCAAAAACCTCATTTAGATCAGCCCAACAGGGGAAAAAATGGTAGAGCAGATTCAAAAAAGACTCAGATACCACTTAATCTGCACCAGGCAGGGTCTGAGACAGGCTCAGGATTGGGAGACAAGCCCCAGGCTTGGAATGGGGAAGGCCAAGCAGGAATGCTGCTAACCCACAGGGCATGGATGGCCCCATCACGAGGAGGAGCAGCCCCAGGTCCGCCTTTCACCTGCTGCCGACCTCCGAGGACATCTCCTGCCCAGCCCTTCTCTTAGGTTCCCACCCTGGTCTGTCTGCAGCCAGGAGCCAGGATGTTTCTAAAACTATGATCTGCATGTGGTGTTCAAAGACAGAAAAAAGCCAGCCTCTGACTCTCCTGCCCTCAGCCACAGCCCTGTCTCTCTTGAGGTCCTCCTCACATGAGGTCCCATGGGTGCTGCCCTTCCTCCACTTCAGTGCTCCAGGGACCCCACCCCACTCTGGGTCAGACCCCACATCACAGCCTCTTGTCTGTTCTTCCCCTCGTTCACTACCCAAGGGCCCCCTTCAACCCCTCAGTCACCTATCCAAGGGTTTCCTGATCGCCGCCCTGCACCCTCCCCTTGCTGCCTTGTTCATTTCACTCTGGCCACATGACTCTATGTTACCCCATCTCTGCTTGTTGTCACCCAATAGGATACAAGCTCCACTGGAACAAAGTCCTTGCCTTCAGGGTTCCACGCTATAATCCAGAGACCAGAAGAGACCCTGATAAATGCACAGATGGGCCTCGGTACACACTTGTTGAATTAGTGAAAAAGTGTCCCATTTTATAATTAGAAATGTAATTAAAATAAGCAAACCACAGGAATAAATGAACAAATGGTAAGCCCACAAATGCCTCTTTGTTGCTAACATTAAGATTAGAATAATCAACTCCAGGCCTAGAAAAGAAGGGCATTAAGACTCTCACTGGCCTTAACTTTTTTTTTTTTCTTTTCTTTTTTCATTTATTTTTATTAGTTGGAGGCTAATTACTTTACAATATTGTAGTGGGTTTTGTCATACATTGACATGAATCAGCCATGGAGTTACATGTATTCCCCCTCCCTGGCCTTAACTTCTAATACAACATACATAACAATGATGAGAGTAAGGAAGTTTCCTCCCTTTCCTCCCCTCTGTAGCTCCTGAGCCCCACCCTCAGGCGATGGTCCCTGTTCACCAAGAAGGCCAGGCTGTCAGAACAAGCATTTTTACCAGCATAAGGGCTTCCAATCCTGCAGAGCGGTTACCTGGCTGTGCCTGTTCCCTCAGACACAGAACAGATGACAGCATCTCCCTCCGCTTGAGTGCCATGAGGATTAAGTCAGATACTTCTCACATTCGAATGTTTATCAAAACAAAAAAACCAAACTACTTTCAGCCTCACTGTAAGATATCAATACTTGCTTTTCCTACAGTTGGACATTCACCATCCACTGTGCTGTTTGTTTCACTGTCGCCCAGGAGCTCACAGAGGCCCAGCCTGGACCAGAGGAGCAGCACATGCACCCGCCTGTCCTCCACATGCAGTGGAAGCAACACAGCCCTGTGCATAATTCCAACACAGGAATGTAAGAATGGGACTCCTTCTTCCCCAAGGGGCACCTGCATGTCTCTAGGGGTTTATTTCTGCTTTTCACAAAATAGGACCACACACTCCATGCTGGTCCTTGGCGTGTGTGTTCCCTCAGTGTCACCATCCATAGGGTTTGCTGCACAGAGGGACTGAGTGCTGCCTTCAGGGCAAGCACCATCACACGGAGGACTTCCTTCCCTTGTATCCTATTCTCAAAGTCCCCAATTAAAGACAACAATCGTCTCCTCAGCATGGGCATCATCTGTAAACCTCAGGCTGCAAGGACACACAGAGCGTCTAAAGTGACACAAAGCACCATCAGGCCACCTGCCGGCAACCTCTGACGAACAGCATGTGAGAGTGTCCTAGCCAGCAGGGGACGCCACCATCGACCCCAACCCCACCTGACAGGTGAAAATGGTATTTCTGTTTATATATAAACATGGACTCTTTCTCATATGTGTGTAAGCCATGAATCACAATTAAAAGCTACCCAGGTAGTCTGGTAACTTTCTATTTTTTAATCTGGGTTCTGATTACACGAGTGAGTTCCTATTAGTGAAAATTCATTGAGTTCTACTATACACGTATGAAGCATACACTTTTCTGTACATGCAGTATACTTCAATAAAGAGATTTTCTTTAAAAATTTAAAAAAAAATGGGATAATTTTAATTAATTGTGTCACAAAAGGAAAAAGAGCAGCAAAACATTAAAACAGCAGATAAAACAAGGTGAGTATCAGAACTCTGTCTGCCCCATACCACCACCAAGAGGTTGTTTACGTCTGGGCATGCTGGTCCTTGTTCCCACGAAGTACTTCAGGTCATCTAAGGGTTTAAGAGCCTGTAAGATACTATACTGATTTGGAAAATTAAGAGCATGCTGTCCGTGTCTCACGCTGCTTTGTACCATCACAATACCTAACACTGTGTGCTCTTTAAAAATACTGTAATTGATCCTAAAAGATTTGTAATAAAGCTGCCCTGTGAGCATGTGGCATCTCAGTTCCCCAAACCAGGGATGGATCCTGGGTCCCCTGCATTGGAAGGCAGGACCACCAGGGAAGTCTCAGATTTTAAAATGAACAATAAGAAAAGTCAGAGAGCAGAAAGCAGAACCACAACCTCCTAAGCAAAAACTGAGCAGGCAATGAACAAAATCTGACCAGATACTGAAAAGTCACACACCTCGAGTCACAAATCAAAACTGAAGCAACACAACAGCTGATAGTTTCAAACTTAGGCAAGGACCCTGGTAAGAACTAAGTTTCTTTTACTTGAATAAACATTAATAATTTTAATATTGATTCAGAGCTGCAAACACCTTTCTCGCCATCTCTCTTTTAGTCTCCTGTATGTGGTGACAGGCATCTTTCTTGGAGTGGAAACTCTTACAAATGAGACATACAAGCCAATGGCTTGGGTCCAGAGATCTGAATTTCCTGATCCACAAAGAAGCTCTAAGGATTCTGAAAATCTGTTCTTTATGTACAAAGCCAGGCCTTGCTGCAAATACTTAATACTAACATCATATAGCTAGGCAGACATTAGCCATATTGAAATCTCCAACCAAATGGAAAGTCAAATTGAGTGATATCTCTGTGCAAAAGCCAAGTTTAAACAATTAACCAATCAGGCAAATTATTTCCTACAACCAAGTCCAGTTGGGCCATTTCAGAGGTGGAGCTGGCCTCAGGTAGAAGTTGGTTCCCATGCTCTTTACCCCCACAAACGATAAGACAGGCAGGAGCAGTGATCCGGCCCCAGAGCACCACTTGGAAAGGATCACAGCAGAGCAGCCTTCCACCTTGACGCTAACTAACAGTGACTGCAAGCCCTGGGGGGGGGGGGACAGCCACCATGTCCCCCAGCCTCCTGTCATCCTTTGTCGTGGCACAGATTAACTACTCAGATAGACTCACATTCTAAGTTGGGAAAAAAATCTCCCTACAAGAAGGTTCCATTTCTAGCTACTCCAAAAAAACATGTCTGAATGCAATTCAGACAGTCATTATGAGGATAACTCTGGAGTCCCTCAGTTTTTAGAGTGTGTTAGGAAGCTTAATGGGAGAAGGCCTACAGATGCCACCCCCACGGTCATGGCACAAAGCAGGACCCCTGCCATAGGGTGCTGAGAAGACAGAGCCTCACCTCTGGATTTCCTGCCAAAATAACAAATCTGGACCTCACCAAGAGGAAACATCAGACAAGTATTCTACAAAACAACTGGCCTGTCCTCTTCTAAAACATAAATGTCACAGAAGACCCAGGCTGAGGAACAGTCACAAATGAGAGGAAAGTTCAAAGCATAGGTGACCTGACTCTAGAAAATGGGCGTTTAGTAAACAACTGCTAAGTCCAGTTAAGGTCAAGTGTTGTATCAACGCTAAGTAGTGTTAGTACCTGGGCTACAGTTATGGAGAATTTTTTAGCAAATAGACACGGAAATATTTCAGAGGTAAAAAGGCATCATATGTGCAGCTTATTCTCAAAAATTTCAGGGAAAAAATACAGCGATGAAGCAAATGTGGTCAATGTTAGTATTTGGGGAATGTGGAAAAATGAGAATATTTGTTCTATTTTGCAACTTTTCTATAAATCTGAGTAATTTCAAAGAAAAATAAAAAATTAGGAAACGCTCACAACATCCAGTGCAAAGCTTGACAGATCACCCCAGGTGTCACTGGGCCCATGCCAGGCTAGGAACTGTGTCATTGTCCATGACAAGGTGAGCACAGACATAAAGAGTCTGGAAACCATCCATTCTTCTGTCAGACCAGGCCTTCTCCACGGTCGGTCTGAGAGCCCTGTTCTGGGATATACCCTCATCACTACCTCTCTTCTATGCCGTTCAGAATCCCATCAAATCCCAAGAATAATCTTGCGGGACACCTGACAGTTACGAAGAATCACCTCACTGCAGTTCTCACCCCTCCTCCAGAGCCGGTGTGTCCCTGACAGTCAGCCTTGAACTTAAGCAGGGGAGCACAACCCCAGTCCGCAGTACACAGAACAGTCATGGCCGTATCTACACAACTGACTTCTGTGCCCTCACAGTCACCCAGCACAGTTGATGTCTGTTAAATCTACACGCTATCCCGTCACTGGGCTTCCAGACTGTGACCCAAGAAGCTGTGGTTTGTGGTAATAGCATATTCTATAATTTGTATTTCTTCTCTCCTGGGAAG